TGAAATTCTAGACCTAGAAAATCTAGAACTAAGACGCCTTTGGTCCGATCTAAGTATAGTATATAAAATCAAACATTGCAATGTCCTACCTGTCAATGAATACTTCAGCTTCAACCATAACAACACAAGAGCAAACAATAGATACAAACTCAAGGTTATCGCACCAAACTTGATTGCAGGAAATACGACTTCAGCAACAGAGTGGTCAATGTCTGGAATACTCTATCTGACTCTGTGGTTTCTTCCCCAAACCCCAAAAACTTTAACCTTAGACTGTCTACTATTGACCTCACCCCTTTCCTAAGAGGTCTGTAGGGGGCGTGCATAAGCGCACCAATGTGCCTACCGTCCCTATCCTATTGTTTCTTTTATTTTTTATTTTTCTCATATGTATCCATGTATTCTTAACTATGTTTTTATTTTACCTATTATTTTGTAAGCAATTGACAATAAATAAATAAATAAATAAAAAATATTCCCCAGAGCACAAAACATTTGTCTCTGCCAAGCTCAGAAGAAATCTGAAACTAGGATAAAGGAAGCCTAAGATGAGGTGGGGAGGAGAACTATCTGCAAAACCTCAGTATCAAATTAAATTTATCTGGCTTCTGAGTAAAATTATCCAACAGTTATTTCATTGATGCAACAGTAAAGAATGATTTTACAGGCATGATTGAAAGCTATTTTTAAATTACATTCATGCACGAATGAGATAAGTAAATCTCATCTTGAAGATTATCTGGCTGTTGCCATAAGACATATTATAAAGAAGTCTAGTCATAACATCTGCAGCCAACTGTATCATCAGAGACAAATATAACTCTAGTGTACATGATATGATATATAAACTGCATGACTTCTAAATTTTATTGCAGCTGAAGGGCTTAAGAAGTCATACATAACCTAAAAAACTTGGACATTCTATAGGCTGATTTAGGCTGATTGGAAACTGAAAAATGTGTTCCTATCTTACATCTTAAGTCATGACAGAATGAAAAAGATTAAGAGAATACATTGGTCATTTTTAAAGCTGTTATCAGCTTTAGTGACACAAACTTTCTGCGCATACGAACTGTATGGCAGATCTTAATAAATCATGAATGAAGAGCATGCTCTGCTTTCCTTCATTGATCTGAACGGTGGTTAACTGATTCATTATCTCTATTTCAAATCTGTTTGCTTTTTCCTAATTTGCATGTTAGCAGTTTGGCTGCAAGTAAAGCATATTTGGAGGCCCAAGTGAACTTATTACTACAATAAGTGTAGCCAGTGATGTAAAGTGAGGTACAATATAAATTACTAAGAAAATATTCAAATGGAGAGTTTCTTGATGCCACTGTAATGAATACAAGAACAGAGCAAGCAATAGCCATTTTGAATATATAAAATGGGGGACTTCAGAAAATAAGCCATTTTAAGATTAGCAGTGTCAATCATTTAACATGCTGATTTACATAACACTACTCTCCACTTTTCCATATGTAATTCTTTTTAATTCAGGGCTTATCTAAAGCAGTTTGCTTTTCTGAACATTCCTACAATCTATACAACCCAGAGGTGGTATTCAGCCAGTTCTCAGCGGTTCTGGCAACCTGGTAGCAAGAATTTGGCTTGAATCACGGAACTGGTAGTGACTTCTGGCTGGCCATGCCCCTGAACCAATTCCCAGGTCGCTCAGTTGCCCTCCCCACCCGATGCTTGCTCGCCCATGCAGCTTGCCCGCCCACCGCTCGCCCTGCTCAGTCACTCCTCCCTTCCTATGTGGCACGCTGGGCCCTCATGGCTTGCCTAACCTGACTTCCCCACGTGGTGCCTGCACCCCAACTGAGCAGCCCTGATCTGCCTGCCCTGCTCACAAGTAAGCCTGTGTCACGCTAGGCCCTTGCCCACCCCTGGGGCCTTTCCGGGCCTCCCCCCCACCTCCCGGGACTTTCCAGGTGGGAGGAAGCCAAGGTGGCGCATCTTTTTCGGGCCAGTCCAAAGGGCAGGTGGGGGACAGCAGCAGCCGCAACGCAGCTATGGGAAGCAGGCCCAGGAGTTCCCGGCCTCCCTTTCGGGGCACCCCAACCGTCGCCGTCACCCCCTCAGCCCCAGCCCCAGTGCAGCAGAGAAGGCAAATGGAAAGGCTTTTCATTCGCTTTCTCCCTGCCTTTCGGGGCACTGTCACCACCGCCCATGTGCTTTGAAAGGGAGGGCAGATGGATGTTCTGGGGCTGCTGCTTTCTTCATTGTCCCGCTGCTCGGTGCTCTGGAGTTTGCCCAATAAGTTCTTCCCAGAAAAGGTGTGTGTGTGAGTCAAAGAAGGAAAGGAAGAAAGGGAGGAAGGGCAAGAAGGAAAGAGCAAGAAAGAAAGAGGAAGGGAGAGAAAGAGAGAAAGAAAGAGGAAGGGGGAGAAAGAAAGAGAGAGAGAAAGAAAAAAAGAAGGAAGAGGGGGAGAGAGAAATCTCATTGCTATTATTTTTAATTGTTCCATTATTTATCATATATTAATATTTCACACTGTCCCTACACCTAGAGTGATTTTATTGCCTTTCTTTTGCCCAGGTATTTTTCAGAGTTTACATGTCTGTAGTCCAGAGCATAAATACAGGTGCATTTAACAGAGTTGAAAGGGACTATGGAGGTCTTCTAGTCCAACCTCCTGCTCGGGCAGGAAAACTGAGGGTGCCAAATTCTGAGTAGAGATCCTGGGAAAGGTGTCAGAATAACAGAATAGCACTTAGAAGGGACCTTGGGGGAAACCCTATACCATTTCAGAGAAATGGCTGTCCAGTCTTTTGTTAAAAACTTCCAGTGTTGGAGCACCCAGAACATCTGGTGGCAAGCAATTCCACTGGTTAATTGTTCTCACTGTCAGGAAGTTTCTCCTTACTTTTAGGTTGCTTCTCTCTGTGTTCAGTTTCCATCCTGCTTTGGAAAATAAATTGTTTGGCTTCTGGTGCTTTGGAAAATACATTGACCCCCCCTCTTTCTGGCAGCTCCCTAAAAGCCTGTTGCCTATCACCCTCTTGGGCAAAGCATGTGAGCCATTTCCTCCTTTCAGTGGTCCATGAAAGTACATCTATAGTACGTAGATAATAAAGTCAACAAAAGGTGGCCACCATTTTTATAGAACTATAGATATGTTGAGGCTGGGTGTGACAAGGAATGGCTGGGAGGGGAGGGGCCAGGCAAGGCACCCCTTGATGTGAGTGACATTGAGTTGGCCACACCCTTCCAGTCACATGACCACCAAGCCATGCCCACACAGTCATATGACTACCCCAGTCACATGGCCACCAAGCCACACCCACACAGCCATGTGACCCTAAGCCATGGCCACCAAATAAGCCACGCCCACAGAACCAGTAGTAAAAAAAATTGAATCCCACCACTGCATTAACCCATTATGAATGAACGCAAATACAAATGTCCCAAGACACATTCTGGTGAGACAGAAATTCCCTGAGGGATGAGCTCCAGCATGAGACTGAAAGCTCGGAAGACTAAACCTCAGGTCCCAGTGACCAACCCAAATCAGATCCTGCAACTAATGTCATTCCTCATTCCCAATCATGCTATTTGCTGAGTTTTCTTTACAATGAAGAAATGATTTCTAAACTCAGTTATTAACTACAAACTTAATCATACTTGGAGAAAACTCATAAAAATCAAATGGTATGCACCAAATAGAGCTAATTTTGGATTTAATATGATATATATGCTCCCTGAAATAATCTTACTTAAACCTTCTTTCAAACCTCTCATTAATAAATTTTTGGTAGAATCAGAGAGAAATTGAACGAAAAATATAGCCTTTTAAAAATAAGTTTTAGTTGTTGTTCAATTCTTATTCATGTCCACTCCTTTGTAACCCTATGGATCACAGCAGGCCAGGGATCCCAGAATCTGCCCAAACTCCTGCCCACTGCATCAATGATACTCTCTAATTATCTTATCATCTGCCATCTCTTCTTCTTTTGCCTTCAATCTTTCCCAACATCAGGGTCTTTTCCAATGAGTCCTTTCTTCTCATTTGGTGGCCAAAGTACTTGAGCTTCACCTTCAGTATCTGTCCTTCCAAAGAATAGTCAGGATTGATTTCCTTTAGGATTGACTGATTTGTTCTCCTTACAGTCCAAGATACTCTCATAAGTCTTCTCCAACACCACAATTCAAAAGTATTAATTCTTTGGTGCTCAATCTTCCTTATGGTCCAAGTCTCACAGCCATACATTACTATTGGAAAAACATAGCTTTGACTATATAGGCTTTTGTCGATAAGGTAATGTCTCAGCTTTTTAATATGCTGTCTAGCTTTGCCATAGCTTTGCTACCAAGGAGCATGCATCTTTTAATACTATATTCTCTTTACATTATATTTCATTGACATAAGTATACTGAAACAAAGCACTATACTATATACCTGGCTATAATTTCTCTTTAGTTGCTTAGGATCAATAAAGAGCAATAGCATATTACTGAAGGAAGTTTCTTATATCGGGAAATCTTGGACAATATGGTCCCAAAAGTTCCCATATTTATTGATATGGGGATATTAGCATTAAATTAGACAAGATGCTGTTTTAATTTTACATAATGTCCCAAAATACTGTAGCTTTATAAACATGGTTGTCCAGATCAGTTTGGGCTGTCAAAATTACCAGCCAGCATTTTGTGCCTGTCTACACAAGCTGTGAAATCTGGGAACTTTAGTCTTAGATTTTCTGGGAAGATTTTAAGACTGTGATGACTACAGTGGAATAGTATGGCAAATTTAACTGATAAGTACAGTCATCTAGTGTTGTGTGTCTTGGAGAACTAAACTGGCATTTATTTTTAATGTGAACCTACTACATATGACACTGATAGACTCTTCCCTAATTGCCACGTATTGATTTAACTTCTGAGGCTATGCATTTGTTATCCAATCCCAGGAATGTAAAGAAGTCATGTGTTAGGTCACAGACATAGTCCCAATGTGCTGCAACAATGGAAACTAAATATGAAATCTGTATTACCTCTGAGCAGATACAAGGAATGAAAGAATTTCTTCTTCCCCGGACAAATGGCTTGTGTCAAAAATAACACTGAATTCATACTAAGGGAAACAGAAAGCAACATTTAGCACTTTTTGGATATTCGAATAAGCATGATTTCTATTTGAATATCTTATATACAAATGCATGAAGTTTGGGAAACAAAGTGAACTTGAATTATTAATATATGAAGGTAGATATGATATAATTGCAATTACAGAAACTTGGTGGGATGAAACCTATGTCTGGAACATGATGATAGAAGGATACAAACTGTTCAAAAAAAAAAAAAAAAACCACAACCCAGACCCCGTAAAAGAGGAGGTGGAATTGCACGGTATGTAGAGGACCACTACATTGCTACAGAAATGCATGGAACCGAAGACGAAAACTTCCTAGAATGCATATGCATCAATATAAAAGAAAAAAAGAATGACATGGTCATAGGTGTATATTACAGGCCATCCAAACAAGAAGAAGAAAATAGATGTACTTTTTGCCAATCAACTAACAGATATATGTAGGAAACACACTATAATAGTAATGGGGGAGTTCAATTACCTTGATAACAATTGGAAGACTAATTCTCCACCAAGTGAGAAATCAAATAGGTTCCTGACCAACCTATCCGACAACTTGTTGTCCAAAAGGTAGAGCAGGGAACTAGACAGCCATACTGGACTTAATACTTACAGAGAAGAAATTATAGAAGTTGAAACTGCAGGAACCTTGGGTGAGAGTGACCATGTCATACTAGAATTCAACATAAATTAAACACAAGCAATAGAACATAATGACACCTGAGGCATAGATTTTAAAAGAGCTGATTTTAACAAGCTTAGAGAGAACTTGGGAAAGATTCCTTGGATGAAAATTCTTAAGGGGAAAACAACTCAAGAAGCTTGGGAAACTCTGAAAAATATGATCATAAAAGCCCTGACAGGCACAATACCACCAAGAAAGAAAAACAAGAAATCTAAGAAGAAACCAGCATGGCTGCAAAAAAATCTCTCTGACAAATTGAAACACAAAAAGGACAAGTACAAAAAATGGAAAGAGGGACACACAATGAAGGCAGAATATCAGCAGATAGCCAGAATCTGCAAAGATGAAGTCAGAAAAGCAAAGGCTCAGAATGAACAAAGACTTGCAACAAAACTCAAAGATAATTTTAAAAAAGTTTCCTCCAACACATAAATAACAAGAAAAAAATCAAGGAAACACTTAAGAGAGATGACGGCAAGGAAGTAACAGGAAACAGAGTGAAAGCAGCTGCTTAACTCATTCTTTGCATCGGTCTTCATGCAAAAAGAAACTATAGCCCAACCTACCAAAAAACTAATTGTAAAAGACAGACTAGAAATAAAAGTTAAAATGGAACTTTCGGTTTGCTTATTGTCGGAGCAGAATCCAGCAACCTAACTTGAGAATCACCTGGAGGGTTGAGGGGAGGCACAACTCCCCTCCCTGACAGGAAAAACCCCTTCCAAAGGCAAGCGGTAGCGGTTAAAATGGCCACCATGAAGACGCAGAACAGCCCGGGAAACTAAGACTGTGCAGGAATGGAGAAGTTGCAAGCAGAGTGTGAACCAGGCAAAATGCATGGATTTTGAGGTACCCTGGTATTAAAAATAAAGGACTATATTGGAGGAAAGTGTGTGGAAGCTGCGACCAGAGAAAGTGAAAAGGAAATTGGATTTTATAAAATTGGCTTGAATTATTGTATTGGATTAATTTGGAGGAGAAAATTTAAAGGAAAATATTTGAACACAACAAAGGTTTAGAAATTAAACTGGACAACTATTAGATTATTTGCACTTAAATGGCATAACTAAATGCTGAAATTGAGTGTGTTGAAATGAAAATAATAGCTAATATTGAAATTAGTGAATTTAATAAAAGTACTATATTTAACAAAGAAAGTTAAAATTAAGGAAGGAGTGGATTGTGGAAAAGGCTCAAGAGCACCACTTGATAATACAGGAAAAACTTCAGTGACCTTTTTAAAAAAGGTGCTTGGTCTTTCTAAGAAATTGGACTTTGGAACTTAAAAGAAAGTAAAAGAAACTCCATTATAAAAAATAAAAACCCTAGAAAGTGACAATAAAATACTACAAAGGGAAAGATATTTGAAAATATTGACTTAGAACCACCCGGTGATTGTGGAAAACAGTTGGGAAAGGGCCTACTTGAAGATCTGGAACAAAGACTTTAGGACATTGATTGTTGAAATTAAACTTAAAAGACACTGGCTGAAATAATATACTGGACTTTGGGGCTGAATACATCTATTAAGGAAGAGGAAAGAAAAGGAAAAAAGGAGAAGATATAATGGAGGAATTATTTGTTGAAATGAGATCGGATTTGCAAGATATAAGGGAAATGATGAAAATTACATTTGAAATGTGTAATTACGTATTACAGAAATTAGAAATGGCGACCCAGCTTGTAGAAGAACAAAGTAAACCAGAGGGGGAGGAGTTTAACAAAGAAGAAGCCAGCTTTGAAGAACAAAGGGATCAACATTTATTTAAGCAGGGGGGGGGGAAGGAATTAAAATTAAAAATGTGTGGTCTGATGTGATAATAAAAGGGAAAATGGTTCGAAAAATGGAAAAAAGGAGAGGGAAAAAGCTAAAAAAAGTTCAAAAGAAAAATTGAAAGGGGGAGGTAGAAAAAGTTAATAATTGGAATGAGAAATAGAGAGGAATAAGAATGGGGTAAAAGTGAATTAAAAGAAAGGACCAGAAAATAAAGAGAAACAGGAAGCAAATGAGGATGAAAAGAAATTATATTGTTAAAAGAGCGAGAGACAATGGGTGAAAAAAAAAAGTTAAAATAAGTTAAAAAAAATAGTTAAGAGAACACCTGTCTGATCTTGTTGAATACAAATAACCAGGACCTGACGGATTACATTCCAGAGTTCTTTTTTTTCCAGTAATTTTTACTGTTCTTTTTCAACTTTTACACGTTTTAACCTTAATATTAACAGTACTGTGCCATCATTATTATATAAAGCAATCTCATGTAAATATCTACATTTATATACATTCATATCTATAATTTTCTTATCTCCGTTATCTTTATTTCTATTGTTCAATTGTCCCAAATTTTGTAATACTCTGACTCTTCTTTATCTTTTAATTTTTACGACAATTTATCCATTTCAACACAATCTAGAATTTTTTGAATTACTAATTCCTCTGAGGGTGTATTATTTTGTTTCCAGCATTGTGCTATGCTATCCTTGTTGCTGTCAATATATGTAGTAAAATGTATTTAATCTTTTTTCTATATTTCCCTTTAATTACTCCCAACAAAAACAACTCTGGTTTAAACTCTGTTCGATCTTCCACTATTTCTTGTATCCATCTCCATATTTTCATCCAGTATTTTTGGGCTTCCGGGCATGACCACAGCATATGATAGAAGGTACCTTGGTTCCATTTGCATTTCCAGCATGTCGGATTCATGTTAGGGTACATTTTGGCCAATCTCATTGGTGGCAAATGCCAACAATAAAACATCTTGTACATATTTTCTTTATAAGCTGATCTTGTTAATGTGTAATTTTTGTTCCAAATATTTTCCCAATCTGCTAAATCTATATTATGTCCAATATTTTTTGCCCATGCTATCACATCATAATTTCACATTTTTAATTTATTGTATCATGAACTGCCAATTAAGATTGTCAAAAGCCTTTTACTACTTCTTCCAAAGCAACTTTTAATAAGTAATTGTACATTTTTGTTATGAATTTCTCTTTGGGGCCTATTAACATTTTATCTAATTGTTGCAGTTCAGTATGTAATCCAAATTTTTCTACATCTTTTTATGTCTGGTTTGTAACTGGAGATATGGCCACCAATCTATACGTATACCCTGCTCTTTTAATTCCTGATTTGTTTTTAATTTTACCTGATTATCTAATATTTCTTTGTATCTGATCATTTTGCCTAAATTCAATGTGTTGGGATATATCATCGCTTCCATAATGGATAACCAGGCCAGTATTTTCATGTAATGTTTTCTCCTAATTTTATTCCAAATCTGTATCAATGAATCTCTCATATAATGTCTATAAAAATATGTTTTCTTCTTACTTTTTTTCCCATAGAAAGGTGTGCCACCCCATCTGTAGATCATGACCCTCTAGAGTTAATATCCTTTTATTACTCAAATTGATCTATTCCTTGATCCATATCAATGCTGCCGCATTACAGTAGAGTTCCCAGTCTGGGAACCCAAAGCTACCTCTACTTCTACTATCCTGTAACGCTATTAATTTTATTCTGGTTTTCTTTCCTAACTATATAAATTTTAACGTAATTTTGTTCAGTTCCATAAAAAAATTGTCTAATTTTATGGGGATTGTGTGAAATCAGTATAATTTGGGTAAAATATTCATTTTAATCGCGGCGACTCTCTCTAATAACGATAATTGTCGTTTCCCCCATAATTCCAAATCTTTCTTTATTTGTTGCAATAATTTCATATAGTTATTTTATTTTATCATTGAACATCTTGCAGTTAGCCATATTCCTAAATATTTGACTTTCTTTGCAATTTGGAGTCCCATTACCCTTTCTAATTCTATTTTCTGTTCTTCCGTTAAATTCTTAGTTAAGATTTTAGTCTTTTCTCTGTTAATTTTAAGACATGATACTTCTCCATATTTTTCTAATTCTCAAATTAAAGTATGTCCTGTCTCCAATGGGTCTTCTATGAATTTTATATTCCTCTTTTTTAATTCATATATCTGGATTCTGTTTGATTCTAATCAATAAAATTTCTAGCATCAGGATGAAAAGTAGAGGTGACAATGGACAATCCTGTCTTAACCCCCTTCATTATTTTAAAGGTTTCTGTATTCTCCCCATTTAATAATATACTCACCTTTTGGGTGGAATATATCGCCTCTATCATTTTCTCAAACTTGTCTCCTAATTTCACATTTTTAATTTATTGTATCATGAACTGCCAATTAAGATTGTCAAAAGCCTTTTGTGCATCCAGAAAAACAAGTGCTGCTTGTTTTTCTGGATGGGCCTCGTAGTATT